ACTTCTTCCCAGAACAGAAGCGATGACTCTACCATTTTCCATATATGAGCAATGTATCCTTATTTGGTGACTTCTTCCCAGAACAAGGCTGAAGTGATGACACTACCATTTTCCATATATGAGCAATGTATCCTTATTTGGAGCCAATTTCGCAGAACAAACAGATTCTACGTGTAATTCGCCGAAGAGAGTCGACAGACTAGGTCTTATTTGTTCTGCGCTGTTGTTTTTGCGACAAAGATACGAAAGTTTTCAAATATTTCTTGCTCCAAGGTATGCATGTGATCTTCTATTATCTTAAGTAATGTTTTTTTTAAGAACAAAACAACAGCCTTCAATTTTGACATGTTTCGGTTTGTTTAAATATACTCTTTGTATTTGTATTTGAGACTGACGAGCGGTGAGTTCTTGAGAGCTCGATGAAAATCTGAAGGTTGTTTTGTTCTTTAAAAAAAAAAATACTATATCAAATTCTACTGCTACGTCCTTTTAGCTATGTTCTTTTCTATCTTTAAGTAATGTTTAAAGTCCGACAATGAGGACTTGACGGGGTTTCAAAGTCCGCGCAATTAGTTCCAGTCCGAGGCGTTAGCCGAGGACTGGAACTAATTGCAAGGACTTTGAAATCCCGTCAAGTCCGAATTGGAGGCCTTTGAACGACTTCAAAAACTCATTAATTATTCGGGAGGGAAAAAAAGCGAAGGAAATACATATAACAGAAATATATTGATTTATTGCATCTCCACTAAGATTTTCAGTTTTCATAATTTTGAATACATGAAGCACCGTTTGTTGTTCTTCAATTCCCGGACGGCTTTCTGAAACAAAAGCTATTCAAATTGTCTTTGTCTGCTATTCATGGCATTCCTAATGAGCCTAATCCATAAGATTTATAAGTATCTTCCGAGGAATCGCATCAGAAACTCGGTGGTGTAATGGTATAAGACGGCGCATATAGACTGGACGGTAGGGGATCGAGTCGTGAGGGAGTCATGTATCAAAGACCTTTTTTCACTAAATTAATGTTAAACTGATTATTTCTAATAATTTGATTATCATTAGCTAGTAGTAGTTGGAAACATGGTAGAAGTAACTGGAAATAAGGTAGAAATAGCTGGAAATAATGTAGAAGTAACTTGAAAAAGGTAGAAGTTAACTGGAAATAAGGTAGAATACAAGGTACAAGTACTTCCTCTGGTTTCAAGTTACTTCACGTGGTACAAATTACAATCAGGGATTGGCTGGATACCTCATGAATAATTAATGAGTTTTTGAAATTGTGTTCTTGTTGTGAAATTAGCTGTTTGGTTTCCTTTAGAAGTTAAGACAAGAAACCATGAATAAAGCTGCAGCACTTCTCTTGATAATGATGGTGACTGCTCAGCAATCTCAGGGTGGACTGTTGGCCTATGGAATTTGCCAGACGGGCTGCAATACAGTGTGGGTTGCTTGTGTGGCTGCTGCAGGTGGAACGGCTGGTGTTTCTACCGGAGGAGCTGCGGTGCCTGCCGCCATCGTTGCATGTAACACTGCTCAAGGTGCTTGTATGGCAGCATGTGTAGCTGCTGGACTTACTCCCACTCCTTAAATCAGCTTGCTCACAGGACTCACAGCCCAGTGTACTGATAAAGCTGTTGTTCTTGTTGAAGTGTAGTCAATACTTAAAAGTTATGTTCTATAAGTTTGTAGAAGAAAACACACAATGT